GTGTACATGTCTTGCCATAAATCATTCATTTAGGCTGGACAGGTGTTTATATTTGGTCCCTGTGGCAGTCACGTAGTCGCTCACGATACTATGCCTCTCCTTACTTCCTTGTAAGAACTCCAGTTAACGAGAGATATCTTGCTCTGTGCATCTGCCGTTAACACACACTTCCCACTGTTGGGATTTCATTATGTCTTCTGGAGCGCCAAAGAACTGAGCAAGGTTTTTGTATCTTTTTAAACCCCTCCCTACTCCTGCATTTCTACATTGTTTGTAATGTTCTTTAGACAAAAAGGGACAGATTGTGACCTCGGCTAATGAATAAATCAGCTCCATCTGTCCACCCAGAGATAGCCTTGTAGCACAGTAGGGCTTAAGGGCATATTTGTACTGTGCAGCGTGGTTAAAAATATCTAAGCTGATTCCAAGTAATCTGGTGTGTTCACACAGTTCAATGCAGTATTACTGGCCTGGTGCTGGGCCAGGGTGTAGGTAATGGTGGCTCTGAGCAAATCCGGTTTGCTCTGAGAGGGCATTGGGGACCTTGTTAATATTTATAAATAACTAAAGGGCGGGTGTCAAGAGGATGGGGCCAGACTCTTTTTAGTGGTGGCCAGCGATAGGACAAGGGGCAATGGGCACAAGCTGGAACACAGGAGATTCCACTTAAACATGAGGAAAAACTTCTTCACTGTGAGGGTGCCAGAGCCCTGGGACAGGCTGCCCAGAGAGGGTGTGGAGTCTCCTTCTCTGGAGATGTTCAAACCCACCTGGATGCAGCCATGTGTAACCTGCTTTGGCAGGGGGGTTGGACTGGATGATCTCCAGAGGTTCTTTCCAACACCCACCATCCTGTGATTCTGTGATCACTGGTGGGGCAGATACATGTTCTTGCTACTCGAGGTCGCTTGTATCCTGCCGTGTGATCCTGCAGTGCTCGGTATGCTGTGTCTGCTCATGTGTTACATGGGCACAAAGCTGCGTATTGAGTACTCGAGACATGCTGTCCTACTCAAGATCTTGCTTAGTGTATGCTTCTACTACATGTGGTCTTTTTCTGAAGGGTTAAGAGATGCAGATGAGAGCATAATCTTCCAAAATTTTGCAAGAGCTCTGAAACTGCATCTCCACAACCTTTGGCAAATTTCTTTGCCCTCACTCACTTGATAGCAGAGTTAGGCTGCCTGGCTAGGTTTCCATGAAGTGTTTTGAGGAGGGGATGTGCCATCTGAGTTCTTGGTGAAGCCTTTAAGTTTGTATCATCTAGTGGTTTGTCCATGTTAGAAAAATTTTGATTGGTGTCTTCATAACTGGGCTCTGATTCTCAGCATAAGCAAAGATTTCAGATCTGATAGTTTGCTGCCTCTAAAAGGGAGCTATCTCACCCGTCATCACACTCGCATCACTCAGCTTCTGCTAGAACAGTACTTGTTGGACTCCTGATACCACCACTTAATCCAACAGCAAAATAACCAAAACTCCCATCCTATCCCCCCCCCAAACCCTTCCACTCCAAACCTGGGTATTTTTGTTGTTAGTCATTTGAACTGTCTCACGGAAGCTTTTTAGCATCACAGATGGTTGAAGGAAGGAAGGAAGGAAGGAAGAAAGAAAGAAAGAAAGAAAGAAAGAAAGAAAGAAAGAAATGGATGAGGACAGATGGAAGGGCCTGACATGTCCCCCTTCCAGGAGCAGTGAGGTGTCAGCCTGAAGAACAGAGCTGAGGTGCTCTCCCTTGGGACCAAAGCCATCCACCTTTCTTGTGTTGTGCCTTGTTTAAATAGCTCACATTGAGATGCTTTGTTTCCATATAATACTTTTAACATAATTTTCCCCTATCCCTGGATTTCTTTTTTTTCCCTATTTCTAATCTTTTGTTCTTATGTCACTTTGCTGCAGCTTCTGTAATCTCCTCTTGTCTTTTTTGCCACTTGGTGTTTATGCTAGCGGTCCTTTACTGACACTTTACTATCCTTGATGTAGTGTGTCCTGGTTTTTGCTAGGATTCAAATGCAAAGCACCTTTGTTTTCCCCTTGCTCTGGTGGTTTGTGTTATGGTGAAATAATTCACACAGCTGGCCTGTTTGTGGGTACTTGGATCAGAGAGGTGTTTGGAATAGAATTTGACTTTGCATTTCCAGAGAGGCTTTTGGCAGACATGCTCTGTTACATTGACTTTTTCTGTTCATTCCTTGCATGATTTTTTGACAGATCATTTACTATGACTTTTACCCCAAATATGCAAAGCTTCCATTACTATGTGTTTCAATTTGCTGTAGTTTACTTTTAGTTTAAGCCCATGCAAGTCCTGATACAACGAGCTACTATAATTTTTCTTGCAAATAATTTTGCTCGAGCTGTTTACACAATGAGGGGGAAAAAAACAGCTCAGCTTTATTGTGTCCCCTGAAAAGGAGATTTGCCAATGATTTCAATGGGAGAAAGAGCAGGTAGTGAAAGTCAGTGAAAAATTAGTTTTAAGAAAGTTCCTCTCCCTGCTTAGAGCAGTACATTTACGTGGCTGTTATTTACATACTACTTGTACAGAAGTCATCGGTATATGGAAAAGCAAGCTCTCAAAAGTTTTTGTTTTCCTGTTGAACTGTGAGATAAATAACTTGCCTCCCAAATATGTATATGTGTAAATATATAAATATTTCTTTTCATATGAGCAAGACTGTGGCCTTTTTTACATTGCTGTTGGAAGAACATATTTTCTATTTATTGTTCTACAAATGGCATCCAAAATACTACATGTTCATATCATTGAGGAAGGAATTTCTCTGTTCAGAAAGTGATTTTTTTATAGGTAGGTATTTACATACACAGACATACATGCTTGTGATTTATCAACTGACAGATGGGGATTGCCATATATATTACTAAAAATCACATGTAACTTCTTATTAGAGAAATTCTTTAAATGACAAAAACATGGAAGCAGGGTCAGGCTCATACTGACTACGTCTACAATCCATGGAAACATATTTGACTTAAAAATATGTGCAACAGATTTGTTTCCTCCTTAGTTTGTCACAGCACAGCTGCAGAGGTGAGATTTTCTTTTAAAGGCTTTACTAAGATTCAGAATTGGCCTTTTCTTACTATTTGCTCCCAGTTTAAATAGTGGATGGGTGATTTATTCCTATACAAATTGAATCGTTGGGCTTGAAAGTCTTTCTTTAAATGTTTGTTGGAAAATTCTTCTGGAGACTTGATAATGCCATTACTTTAAAATTTTCAATTTTTCTATCATGTTTTGCTTCTGTTTGATGTAAGAAATTGCTGCCCGTGCAGTTCGGCTCTGAAACTGATACCTCTGTGCCAGTCTTTAGAGCACCACCCATCTTCCGACCTGTGCACAGCAAGAAATACAAGTTTGTGTGTTTAAAATGCTGCAGGAACCAAATTCAATATGCAGGAGCTCTTTCCAGCTGTTGAATATGGAACATGTACTTTTAAAATTCATGAATGTTATGCATGTTTTTCCAGTTAGAATATGGGTTATAAATATTAACTGGGGCAGTGATTCCAGTGATGAAGTTGCAGATGCACACCAAGGAAACTTGTCAGTGGTTTAATCCTTTTTATAATTATTCATCATTACAAAAATTCTTTCAATTAAAAAAGATTTGAAAGTTACATTTAGGGCTTTGTAACAGTTAAAATTTTTCTGTTTATGATTTATGCACATTTAATATTTGCAAATGTGCAAAAAAAAATGTTACTGCACAATTTTGTTGGAAAAGATACTATGGAATGGGTCTGCATTTTTTGAAAAGAAATTCCTCTCTTTTTTTTTTGTTTTCGTCTCCAGAGGGATATAAGAGACTTTGAGGAGGAGCAGAGCATTTGCTTTCTCCACATTTCAAACCATGTTAAAATCTCCACATAATCCTAGTGTCTGTCAAGGCATGAACTGTATAGACATTTATTCTGGTAGTTTCAGTTCCTTGAAGGATGCAGTGAGAGCATTGCTTTGGTTCAGTGACGGGTCCTGGGGCACTGGTGCTGGCAGCCCTTGCCCCTTAACCAGTAGTGGGGAGCAGAGCCTTTCCGTGGAGCAACCTCTTGGCACCATGGTTAGCTGTGGGCACAGCCACAGTGTCCGAGATGATGGCAGGTACTCCAAACAGTTCTGCTCTAGTTTCTTAATGAGAGCAGGATCACACCCTTAACATTAGGAATGTGATAAGCGAAGATGCACTTTTTTATTATTCATCTTTATAATTCTCAACATTGGCTTAGAAGTTTCATTTTATCAAAAGATTTTAACTTGCTCAGTTTAAGCTATATGCATTCTTCAGATCTCCCGAGTCTGTGAATTTGCAAAATGAGAAATACACTATGCTTAATGATTTTCATGTTCCCCAAGTAGTATGCTAATTGTGTTGGGTTTTTTTTGTTTGTTTTTTTTTAAAGAATAGTTGCATACATTAAGACCTATCTCAATTTTGCATGTTTTTACCAAAACTATTTTTGTCTTTTCCACACCTGGCACTTCAACAAAAGTAAACAGAAAGGAGAAATAACTTAGCATGGTGTCTACATGCTTGCTTTGTTTTGTTTTGTTTTTTAATTTTATGATATTCAGAGCAACTGTGGTTGGGGTTTAATGTATTGAGCAGGAAGGGATATGCTTATAGCAGGAACTCAAGGGAAAAGTGAGCAGCAGATATCTCAAAAATTATAGTGTTTTACACTTAATGGATTATTTTTTCAAAGTACATCATTCCATACGCTGTATAAACCAGACAGCACAATGTAGATTACTGCTTTTGGGGTGGGAGGAGGAGGAGTTTAGTTCATCACTGGTGGGCATAGTTATTCTTATTTTCCCAAATTAATTTATTTGGGGATGAATGTTAAGAGCTGTTTAGAATCAGATGGTTAACAATGATTCCAGGATGCTCTGCTAGGCTATAAATCTCCCCGGGGACCAGGGACTACATATCAGTCGCAACCTAGCGTAAGCAGAGAAGACAAGAGATTGAACTTACGTTTGACAGTACTGCGGGACTCCTGGAACCCAGCTGTCTCTGAACCCCAGCCCAGGGCTTCACACTCGCGCTCCTCCCCTTGCCCATGCCTGGCACTCGTGCTTGCAGCTCCTCTGCTCTTTTCTGCCAGCCAGCACATCTTCCAGAGCCCCACGCTGCGCTTACGCCCATCCTCCAGCGTCTGATATACCCAGTTGGGAGTAAAGGCAGCTGCGTTGTTAAGAATAAGTGAGACCAGGGCTACCAACACAGCTGTGGCTACCAGTTTCTGGACAGTCATATCTGACTGTCAGCTTGCTGCCAGTCTCTATTTGCAGAAGACACAAGGTCTCAATCAGCTGCAGCACATTGAACTTGGGCTTGAAAGAGTGGCAGCTTCGCAAGGGTGTTACAGAGGGCTAGAGGACATCACCGTTCATTCTCAAAGTCAACTCCAGAGGTGTTTCTGATCAAGGAAATGAGGCTTTTGCGAGGTAGGTAGGAGAATTCCATAAAATGAAAACACAAAGCTTTTTTAAGTCCTTCCCAGCTTTGGCTTATCCACCTTCTTGCACTTTGATAAGTAAAGCCAGTGCTGTGATGAACTGAATGACAGGGAGGTCCATTCCTTGGGAGACAAGGCGAATCCAGAAAGAATCCAGTCTTGAGGCAGGAGAGCCTGAGCTGCTGCTGAGGCAGAGGCGGGGATGCTCGCCAGCAGCGTGCCAAGCGTGCGGGTCCTCCGAGCCAACCAGCACCGCTCCGAAAGCCTGGTTTTCTGCTACAAACTTCAGAATATCCCACCAACCATGACAAATGTTATTCTTTCAAAGCCAAGCTGGACTGGAGAGGAAAGCTGTCATCCCAAAGGAGCTCAGCACGTTTGGAGTATCTCGAGGAGTTTGCTCTGCCCTGTCCCTCTCTGAAGATCCGAGCTGCGAGTGCAGGGAGCGGAGAACAGCCACTGCTGTGAGGAAAAGGCCCCCCCACCGCTCCACCGAGAGGAAATGGCTGTTTTTGTGGCTGTTTTTGGTGAGCCTCAGGGCGTAGTCGACTGCAACAAACAGAGCCACTGCCACAGCAGTCAAACATTAACAGGATGTGTTTCCTGAAAGGAAAAGACTATGGAGACTTCTAAAGTTGTACCTCCTCCCCTCGGAGAGCCCCCCTCCCCGCCTTACTCCTCCTACCCTCCCCAAAGCTGGGCTGCACATCGCAGAGGTCCTCCCTGAAAGGGCAAAAAAGAAACCCCCAGCCTCAACCCTCGGAGCATCAGGTCTGCAGAAACGGCTTGAGGAGAGGGATTTTGAAATGGTTTTTACTGAAAGCAAAACAATTTTGGGGTTAGCTGTCGAACAGCATGATGAAAGTTGGGGGGGGGAGGGCACTGATGTCCCTCGTCCTCTCTGTGATCCGAGAAGGGAACATGGCAGAGAAATAGAATACAGAAAATCTCGAGATTCTCAACCTGATAAACAAACGAATTTGGGGGTGACGGAAAAGGCAGCGGCAAGTGTAACGATGTGAATAAAATTGCAAATGGCTGCATTGGGACTGTGTGGGGCTGGCACAGCCCTGAGCCCCATGGCCTGGTTTGCTGGGACCCTCTGCAGAGGATCGACAACCTCAATGTAATGCCTCTGGGCACAAACCAGTGCAGAATTGACTCCCAGGACCGCAAACACTGGTGCTGCGAAAGCTGCAAGGAAAGCAGCGTTAAAACACAGGTTAACAAAGAGCTGTTGAGGGCATTTCAAACCATCCCTGACCATCGATGTTTCCAGAAGGGCCTTGCACAGACCCGCTCTCTAAGTGGCAGTTCACTGTTTGCAGCTGCATCGCACCGACCGCACCTGAGATGTTGGCACAAGAGTTCACATCAGTGTAATTCATACAATTAGATTAGAAACTGATTTAATTTTATAGCAGTTCTGTCTTACCAGCTGAGTTACTTTGCCCTTAGCCAAAAAATCAGTACTGACCCAATACGTGTAGACAAAGTGGTTGGAAATTTTTTGACAGTCAATATTTTCTAAGAGTTGTTACTGACAGGAGTGGAAAATATTTCAATGAAGTTCGTATGCTGCTAGTCAGCTATTGGAATTGAATATACAAATCTGGCCATGAATTCACCCCTCCTCTGTGCGCTTGCTTCATTTTTAATCCTTAAATGGATTAAACTTTAGGTACTTTGAGCATTTTCATACTCTGACAGCAGACAGCATCTTTGGTTTCTTTTTTTTCCTGTGATTGGTCAGGTTTCTGTACATCTCTGGTTTTAGAAGTTTTAGTATAAATAACACACTGGTGCGTACTGTTCTTCAAAGAAATTTCTGAACAACAATGACAACATTTTCATATTTTATGACCAGTGGATTTTTTTATTATTATTTTAAGCCTGTGATTCACCAGCGAGGTGGGTGATTTTCATATGCAGATAACGCCAGAAGGGATTTGCCTTTAGGGAAGATCTCTTCTACCCAATCGCACACCTGCTTCTGCACCCTCTTGTCTTTGATTTTTGTGATTTGTTGAAGCCTGAGCATGTATTTTCAGAAGGAAACTTTATTTGCATGTTACATGTAAAAAAAAAGATAACACTTGTATTTTACAAAAGCTGAACAAATCAGTCTAATATTTTAAAACTTTGTCACATCTCTTCTTCTTTCCACACCAGTTATTTGGTGTGAGAATATTCAACCTCTTTTTTTAATTCTACCAATATTAAAAATAAATCATATTCTTCCTAAGCCGTACTTGTCTTTGAGCATCAAAGCCACCAGGTGATCTAAACATCATGGCACTGGTTTGAAATATATGGTACTTGAGAAATTCTTCATGTTACATATGCAAATCCATGCAAGTCAATGAGTTTGCATTTAAGGCAGCTTTCCCAGAGGAAAAAATAAGTCTCTTATTCCCAGATTGCCTCCTGTTGTGGCCGCAGATGGGTGGGTGGCTATGTGGTGAGTTGCAGCTGGGAACGGATGCGGATGAGTCAGGTGGATCAGTTCTCTGTCACGTAAAACACAGGAGGTGGTGCTGGGACTGGTGACAAAGTTGGCCTTGAAGCAGATGCTTCATCCCTCCAGCTGTGGTGAGGTGCTCATCTCCAAAAAGGCTGCCTAGTTTTAAGTCCATATTGTTTCTCTGTTGTTGGGGACTGCCACATCACGAATAATTTGGGACTTCGTTTTTGTGATGTTGGAAATGTTTCTGGGGACCCCAGTTGTGGCTTAGAGAGCAGAAAGGACAGCAGCATTGCGGTCTTCAGCCCACCCAGGTAATCCACCAGTAAGGAGAGATCTGAGGAGCATGCAAGGCAGTAGTGACTGCTGTTGGCTGCAGTATTTCAGCAGGTACATGATGAATTTTTTCACCCATGGCAAAATTTCTGGTGGATGTTCTTGTCTGGAAGTAGCTGTTTGTTAATTGATTGTTCCATGCTGCAGAATGGTTCTGTGCAGCATTAGGTTAAATTACTCCATACAACTTCCGTAGCAGCTTATAAAGCTCAATAATTTAGATTATATTAGATAACTAGTTGCTTCCGTACTAAATTTGTCCATTTACTACTTAATAAATTCTGTTTACAGTTGTTTATGCAGAGCTCAATCTTTTTTCTGTTTGTTTTTTTTTTTTTTTTTAAATAGGCAAATGGCTTTTAGTCATTCTATTCAACTCATAACAGCATCTAAAGATGTAAAATTGAGGAATTCCCTAAATTAGTAGATAACACCAAGTCAAAGTTAAATGAGTTTTGCACAGATCTGGTAAATTTTCCTAGGTTGCTCATACCAAAATGGCCCAGTAGTCATTTTAGCTACAGTTTTAATCAAATGGTTCTTGTTGGCACCTTCACAGTCAGTGGCATTTTCTATCTTCACTCAGAGATCTTGTGCTTCCAGTACAAAACAGTTCAGGAATCCTAAAAAAGAAAAAAAAAAATCTTAACGAACACTTCTCTACTGATAAATACGCAGCAGTATCTTCAGTTGCAGTACTTACTGCATTCCTTGGGACACAGCAGATTTGTTTGATATAGTTCTCACTGAACAATAGCTTGATGTTGATTTTATCAGGATAAGTTTGGAATAGACAAAGCTATGTGCTTGATATGGTATTATAGATACTATTCTCTAAAGCTTTTGTTGCTTAATCAAATATTCTGTTTCTGCCAGGGAACAGTTTTTAGGAATAATCTAGACAGCTTTCAGTGTTTTAATCATACATGAAAAATGCATGACATATTTCCCAGAGGAGCACTCATTTAATATGATTAACACTATCAAGGACCTCACTGAATTGTTGCAACTTTTCATATATTATTTAGTTCCTTGTTATCTTTTAGTCCCACTGAACAGGCATAACTAGAATCTGATTAATGCATTTTAAAAGCATCTAACATAATTTAGCTACATCAGATAAAACTTCATTTTTTCAAGTCCTAAGTTTTTTCCAGGTTGCAAGAAAATACACAGTAAGCCACCGATTTTGACATTTTAACTCATTTATTTTGTAGTGGTTTGAAGATAAGATCAGTGTCCATTTTTATAGATGTGTTTAAAATTTTACGTGGTACTTCTAAAGGATCAGCTTTCCATCCCTGCTAACCTTAGGTGTCACATAGTTTATGTTGTTTGACCATGTCCAAGCTCTTTGTAGCTGTTATGGTCCACAGCGTGATGCTTTTATCTTAGGACCGGTCTATCAAATCACATGGATGTAAAGTTGATTGTAAATGAATTGTCTGGTCAGAACCACCCTCTGTTGTATATTAAAGCCATTTAATATGTTTTTTCAGGGGTTGGAAGATGCAGTCCAGGCAAGGGATTAACGTTTGAAAAATAGGGTTAGATGTTAGTTATCCTTAGGAAGCAGCACCTGCTTTGTCCCATCCTTTTCCTTTGCATAGAAAACACTCCCAAGCGGCATGTAGGCAGTGGGCAGAGGCTGGGGAAGGCTGGTGCCCAGTGTCCTGCAGCATTTCTTCAGGCCAGCCCCAACACTGTTTGCGTTAGTGGTTTGGGTTGGAAGGGACCTTAAAGCTCATCCAGTTCCAACCCCCCTGCCAGCAGCAGGGACACCTTCCACTAGACCAGGTTGCTCAAAGCCTCATCCAGCCTGGCCTTGAACACTTCCAGGGAGGAGCAGCCACAACTTCTCTGGGCAACCTGTTCCAACTGCACACCAGAACGGTGCATCCACTGCAGTCCCTGTTGGCTGAGCTGCTGAGAATCTGCTTTGAATTTCTTGTACAATTTGTTTTGTGAAGGGGAACTGAAGCTTCCTTGTCCCCAC